AATGGATCAAATATCAACTAGGAGATTCGACTGTTACAGAATGAATGTAGACATACTATAGAATAAATGTAGATAGAATGAATGTAGATATAATGAATATAGACATACTTTTATGTAATGTATATAGCTAGCAGAATTATAGGGATTCACAACACATTTATAGGATCTCCTTTTTTATTCTTTCTATAGTTAGGGCTTTATGTACTTGTATATATACGTGTTACTTCTTGCAATAATACACAAGGCGATTGCTCCATTTTCTCTGTATTTTATATGGTATCAAAGTAGAGACATTTGATTTTACCGATGTTACTTTAGAAAGTTTACTGGAAGTCATAGACCAGGTATGGTATGAGGGAATCAGTTCATGGTTTCATTTATGATGTTCGCTCGATATTTCCGGTTAGAATTTTGTGGTTTCTTGTTCATCAAACTTTAGTTGGGTAGATTTCAAAGATTTCAGGTTTTGTCAATTTTGTATTTTTTGGTCAAAATTATCTTTTTTTTTATTTTTCATTTACTGATTCGGTGTCTGATTACTATCTAAGGACTCCATATTCTTGGTAAAATTTTCGTTTGTGAATCTTTGGCTTGTTGAGCTTTATTCAAGTGAAGATCATTTTGGTGATTGGGCTAGACGAGAGATTCTATTACTTGATCTTTTGGATATTTGTTGGGGTATCTTTTTAGTAAACTTTTACTGGTTCCTCTTCCATTATTTTGATACTTTGAATGTTCTAGTTGAGCAAACCTTTGGTGAAACTTTTCAATTATATCATTTGGAACACTATTTTGTTTGATTCTCACTTATTCTCTGATTCATTGGGTAAACTTCCGATTCTGTATTCTGAGGGATAACTTTATTTGTGTAAAGTTCTGGTTGTGGTCAGCTTGCTGAAGTTCCTTTTTGTTTACTATATCGTGAACTTATGGCTATATATCCTAGTCCAACAATCTTAGTTTTGGATGCGTTTCTAAAATTCCTTCAATATCAAAAATCAATTAAGGAACCTTCTTCGGTTACTGATTTTGATGGGTCAGATAAAACATATCTTATCACCTCTTCAAATAAATGGGTGCTTGATTCAGGTGCCACAAATCACATCACCGTGGCTCCCATTCATCAAGGATGTAGAGATCACATGATAAATATCCTTCACCAATAACCTGCTTTGTTGTAAGATTTAAAAATAAACAATGGTCGGGGGAAAATGCGACACAACAATGAAGGTTGGTGATTTTACTAACATAAATCAGATTAAAGGCCAAGTTTGGTAGACTTAATACAGAAGAAAAGGTAATAGAGGAAGTTGGTTTAACAGTTCCAGATCCAACACTGTTACAAGTTCATCCATCAGCTATAGTAATTGGAGAGGTTGCTTTGTATGACCATGTCCTGTTCTTTCCAAAATCGGGCATAGTTATTTTGTCACTTTTGTAGATGATTTTTCTCGAATGACTTGGATTTACTTTATGAAAAGTCGCTTTGAAGTGTTTACTCGCTTTTCTACCTTCTGTGCTGAAGTCAAAACTCAATTCAATGCTTTGACGCGTATTGTAAGGAACGATAATGCTAAAGAATACACGTTAGAGTTATTTTGGTCCTACATGAGATAACATGGTATACTACAGTCTTCATGTGTTGACACACCTTCTCAAAATAGAGTTGCTGAGAGGAAAAATGGGCATCTACTTGAGACAGCTCAGGCACTTTTGTTCCAAATGAAGGTCTCTAAACAGTTCTGGGCTTATACAGGCTCTACAACTTATTTTTTGATTAATCGCATGCAATCTAATGTACTTGGTGGTAACATACCTTACAATGTTCTTTTAAAATCATTATTTCCGATGGAATCTAAGGTGTTTGGTTGTACATGTTATGTTCGAGATGTTCAACTATTTGTTACCAAGTTGGATCCCAAGGCATTGAAGTATGTTTTCCTAGGCTATTCTCGCCTTCAGAAGAGTTTCAATGTTATTCTACTGAACTTAGCAAATATCTAGTGTCAACTGATGTGGTATTTTCAGAGACTACACCATTCTTCTATGCACCTCCCATTTCTACAGTCCAAGGGAAGGAATGAGTGGCTAGTATATCAGGCTACCCGTACTTTGACAAAAGAACCAAATGTTCCTCCATCTCCTAGTTCTTCTATTGAGCAACAATCGACTATTATGCCTTCAACACATACTCCAACTTTGTTAGCAAGACCGTCAATTGTTCAAGTTTACTCGCAGAGGCGAGAGACAAATAATACATGTCCTACAACTGTTCCTTTGTCATCAGATCCTCCTCCACCCTATCCACTAGAAAACCTTGACCTTCTTATTGCTCTTGAAAAAGGTACACGCACTTGCAAATCCACATATTTCATTACTAATTTTATTTCTTATGACCGCTTATCCTCTACGTTAGAACTATGATTGCTTCTTTAGACTCCATCTTGGTACCTAAAATAATGAAGGAAGCTTTGAATCATCCAGGATGGACTGATGCAATGCTTGAGAAAATACATGCCTTAGAAAATAACCACGCATGGGATTTGGTGGATTTACCCAAGGGAAAGAAACCAGTGAGATGTCAGTACAATTAAAGTTAATCTAGATGGTTTTCTGTGGCAAGACTTAAAGACAGACTTGTGGCTAAAAGGTATGCTCAAACTTATGGAGTGGATTATTCTGACACCTTCTCCCCGGTTGTCAAACTCACTTTTGTCCGCTTATTTATTTCTCTAGATGTTTCTGAGAATTGGCCTTTACACCAGTTGTATATTAATAATGTGTTCCTTCATGGTGGTGATCTTAAGAAGGAAATGTATATAGAGCAACCACCCAGTTTTATTTCTCAAGGGGAGTATGAGAAATTCTGTCATTTGAAGAAGTCCTTGTACGGCTTGAAGCAAAGTCCTTGAGCTTGGTTTGACATGTTTAGTGAGGTAATTCAGGAGTTTGGGCTGAAAATGAGCAAGTGTGATGATATAGTCTTCTATCGGCAATCAACAACTGGAACTATTCTTCTTGTAGTATATGTTGATGACATTGTTGTCACAGGAAGTGACTATGTGGTGATTTCTTGCCTCAAGTCTTTCTTGCACACTAGGTTTCATACAAAGGACTCGGTCATGTTGAAATACTTTTTGGGAGTAGAAGTAAATAGAAGCTAGAAGGGAATTATTTTATCTCATAAAAAGTATATTCTTGAGTTGCTTGCAGAAACTGGAAAGTTGATAGCTAAACCCTGCAATACTCCAATGGTTACTGATGTGCATATGATGAAAGATGATGGAGATCATTTTGATGATCCAGAGAGATACATGATGTTAGTTGGAAAATTAAACTACCTCACTGTGACTCGTCCAGATATAGCCTTTGCGGTAAGTGTTGTTAGCTAGTTCGTGTCTGCACCAACGGTCAAACATTGATCAGCTTGGGAACGGATTTTATGTTACTTGAAAGGAGCTCTTGGACTTGGCATATTATATAGCAATCACGGTCATACTCATATTGAGTGTTTTGTAGATGATGATTGGACTGGATCCAAAATTGATAAAAGATCTAGTACATGCTATTGTGTCTTTGTTGGAGGGAACTTGGTATCGTAAAGAAGTAAGAAGCAAAGTATTATATCTCGATCAAGTGCATAAACTGAATATAGAGCTATATCTCAGTTTACGTGTGAGATTATGAGGATATATCATCTTTTGACTAAATTGGGTTGGAGCATCCAATACCAACAAAACTCTGGTGTGACAATCAAACTGGCCTCCATATTGCGTCAAATCCAGTGTATCATGAAAGAACTAAGCATATTGAGGTTGACTACCATTTTATTCGTGAGAAGATTCATTAGAACTTGATATCCACTAGCTACATGAAGATATGCGAGCAACCAACTGATTTATTCACAAAGGCGTTGAATGGAATTCGAGTTGATTACCTTCGTAACAAGCTGGACATGATCAATATCTATGCTCCAGCTTGAGGGGAAGTGTTACAGAATGAATGTAGACAGCGTGAATGTAGAGATAATGAATGTAGACATATTTTTATGTAATGTACGTAGCTAGCAGAATTATAGGGATTAACAACAGATTGATAGGATCTCTTTTTTTATTCTTTCTATAGTTAGGACTCTATGTACTTGTATATATACTTGTTACTTCTTGCAATAATACATAATGAGATTGCTCCATTTTCTCTGTATTTTACATCGACAATGGCAAGACACCACCAAACATGTTAGGTAACTTTTATCCTAATCTTTTAATGGCAGAACTCCAGTATTAAAGTGCTGGAATTTTACCTGTTAAAGTTTTAAAATCTAGCACATGGTGTTGTGGTTTCACCGGTAGAGTATTTTAGAACTCTAGGAGTAATTCCTGGAGTTTTGAACTATACATTTTAAAACTCTAGTAATCGTTCCCGGAATTCTTTCATGTTTTAGGTAGTGATATTTTTGTCCAAATTTGTATTTCTGCATTAATGAATGACTAATTTAAAAGGTGACCGGAGAATCCAAGTAAAATATCATATGTTGAAAGTTGAAATTTTAGGGTAGAAGAAGCTCAAACATAAGCATGAGAAAGATTCTATAACTACATCTCCAATAACTTCCTGGGTCGAGGAACTAAATCGTTGAATGGTGTAATCGCCAGAGATCATCCATGCATAAGCAACACCAGGCAAGAACTCCACCTACTTATGCCAACCTCAATCTCCTCGTGTCAATTTGTTATCTATCACAATAAAGGAATATGTATCTAATCAAGTTGGGAAAAAAGACGTTTATCGTGATTGTTATTTAGCTTGGTCACATGAAAGGCATATGGCATTTCCGTTAGTTTAAATAGTAGTAATATATTTTGGAATTCCATCAGGTGGACAAAAAATGTTCAATATTTGCAACTTAAAAGAACAAATCTGCTCAGAGTAATATAATTGGGATAAGAATAGGCTTGGCCCGAAACTTAAGGACCACTTGAGTTAAAACCTCTAAGAAGTGACAATCATGTAATATTCTCATTATTGGGGGTTAAATGTGGTTTTATTTTATTTTCCCCATTTCAAAAGTGTTTCGTGTGGTTATGGTTAGTTATTAGGCGGGCCGCGGGAGTGAAGTTTATGGCTACAATGGCTGTTTCCTTGTTCATGGCTGCTAACAGCATTGTGAAGTTAAACTTCCCAATTGTTGTAAAGAATGTGCCTATTGAATCCTTTCGTGTTTTCTTGAAGCCTGTGCGTTGTCTTCCTGTACAGCAACAGGTATTAAGCATTCTGTATAAACCTTATTCATTTTACTAATGACTTAAATTATAGCCTATGTGTTATGTGTAGTGTAGTTCATTATTCTGTGATTTGTGATTGATTTTCATATTTGGTGAAAGTGATGTGTGTAACTTTTCTCAAGTTCTGTGGAGCAAAGAAATTGTCGTTTTCTTACTATTTGAGTTGAATCTTTTTCTTTTCCACTAAGTTACATTCTATAGTTGATATTCCGATCTGATAATACCTTGGAGCAATGGTTGAACCTGGAATTTATGCAAGGGATTCAAAACAATACTATATTTTCACACATAGAACCCCTTTACCACTATGCTAAAAGTTTTCCTTAGGTCAAGGGGATTCAACAGTTCGTATGTAACTCAAAATTATCTGTTTGCACAGTATAATTATTCGAAAAAGTGGATTCAATTGACCCCCCTTACTCTTACCTAGCTCTGCCCCCTGCGTCTGAAGTTAGTATTTGAAGATTAAGCTGTAGGTTGAGTATGGAAATGGATCAATCCGCGTGGAAATTCTTATTGATAATTAAGATGATGGGGAAGTTGGTATACAGAAACAGAAATTCTAAGTCGTACTGTTGAGATACAGAAACAGAAGAAAATGAGGGAAATCTCTGCATTCCCACATGGGATATTCGATTCATATATCCTTTTACTGCATAAATACTTTACCCTCATGTACTGGACTACTAATGTTGGTGCGGATAAAAATGGATGGATACCTAATAAGGTCTTCAAAAATTCTGTGGCTTATTAACACAGCTTGGTCTAGTCAGGAAGCAGGCTTCTGTTGGGTCATCTTTGACAAAGTAAAACTTTAATGAGACCTTGGAAAAATCTTGGTATACAAGTGGTTATGCAGAAATAGAGAACCTACACAAAATTACGATTCTCTACAAATAACACCCATTCCGCTATGTTGACAGAAAGCTCATGGTTGCTCAAAAGTTGCTAAGAACAAAACACGGACCTCCATCCCTAGTCCCTACAAAATCATTTCCTGCTCCATCAAAAGTTATCATCTTCTTTTCCTTCTAAAGTATCCACATAGGAGCCAAAGGGGCAGCATTTTTATGGTTTCCATCTTCTTTTCCTTCTTTTGAACGTCCTACTAAGCATCACTTCTTTAAATGTAGCTGGCATTGTTCATTGTACCCCAAACAGATTCTGCAGCATCCACCACAATTGTATTGCAACCTGGCAATGCACTAATAAGTCATCCACATCTTCGCCCGAATAATTGTAATGTAAGACCAGCTAAGATAGGTGAAAAGAACATGCATTTCTTGGAGCTCTAGTATTCCGCGCTGAGATGAGATGAGTCTTGATAACCTGTGGTAGATGGACTTTACCGAAAATACTCCACTCCCCATTTTGTCCTTTTCCATATCTTGATCAGATAATGTAATTAATATGTTATATTTGAACCACTTAACATGAGTGTTGCTGACATGGTCAGATCAACTTGTCATGTCTTAGTTCTCAGTGGTTCACTATAGTCTAGAATTCCTGAAAGTCATTAATCTCCTTAGTTTGTCTTCTTGAGTATTTCTCTTTCCATTAAATGATGATCCGTCCTTATAGATATTTAGATCTCCAACAGCTTAACCATTTCTACGTAGAGATACTTTTAAGTCCGCTATGATCTTACCCTCATTTTCTCATAGCTCTGGGAATCTGTACTTAGATGAGAAAATCCGTGTTCTCACTTCTCAATAAGACTTCAACAAAAATACTATGCTTCCCCTTTAGTTCTTTTTCCTAGTATGTTGATCTTGATCCGGTAAAGTACTATCCTTTCTGTTTGGACCATATTATCATGAGTGTTGCTGGTGTTTCGACTAATAATGGTGAGATCAACTTGTCATGTCTTAGTTTTCAGTGGTTTAGTATAGTCTAAAATTCCTGATTTTGTCTTCTTGAGCATTTTTCCTTTCCATTACGCCATGACCTTTGTTTATATTTAGATCTGCATCAGCAGAGGCGGATGTAGTGAACAACTAACGGGTTCAACTGAATCCATAACTTTTGATGCAGTATAAAATTTATATGTAAAAATTCATTAAAATTGCAAAAATAGTGGATATGAACCCATAACTTTAAAAATATAATGCTAAAAACCTTAAAAGTTGAACCCATAAAATTTAAATCTTGGATCCGCCTTTGTGCATCGGCTTAACCACCTCATTTCTAAGTGGAGATAGATACCTTTTAAGTCCGCTATGATCTTATGCTCATTTTCTATTAATATTATCTGCTCCGCTAGCTGACTGTATCTTTGTTTTGAGATACTGAATCTTTACATCTTGCGCCTTGCAACATCCGAGTTTCTTTATTTTTTTAGAAGTTCTTATTGCTGTGGAAGTGGTATTTGCTTTAACTCTTTCTCTGTTTGTTCTCATTTGAAAGGCTGAGTCTGGAATCTTGTGCGAGCCTTGTGGTGGCACTGGATGGTTACTTTGTGATTTTTGTAAAGGGCAAAAGACCAATGTGAAATCTGAGACTAACAAAATTTACCGTCGATGTCCATCATGTAGAGCTGTAAGTATCTCTACAATCTTGCATTGCCTTAGTTTTCACTTTTCAGTGGAACACAATAATTACATCGATTGATGTTTCAGATGTGTTGTTAAGTTTTAATAATAATTCCACTGAACTTTTTCTTTGTGTTACTGCAGGTGGGATACATATTGTGCTCAAAATGCAAAGTTTTCAAATGCGTTACTTTCCCAAATTATGAAGATGGTGAAGTCCTCAGCTTTTGAACTCGCAAGTTCATCTCAGTTGCTATATATCTCGAATATTCATTTTGACCAATTACCATAGATATAATTTTACTGACTGGAGTTGCTATGTAAGTTTACCTGATATGTTTACTCTTTCGATAATCAGTATAAAGAAAAAGAAAACAGCTGTGAGATTTCAGGCGTTAAAGAGATGTGTACACTGACTTTTATAGTCCTCCAGATCATTGCATAATTGTTTTGATAAACCAGTTAAACAAAGCACATATCAGAGGTTCAACTTGTGAGAATCAAATAAGTTGAGCTGAAAAAGGATTTCAAATGTAGTCTCAACATTTCTGTGAAGCAACTAGTCTGTGTTCTCAACGATAGCATTGTGAATCTTTAGTATAGACAGTAATTAGTAATGAAAAGCCTGAATAAATGAATACTCCTCGTTAGCTACCTAAGGAATCATGATATCTTTATTAATACAAACGTATTCTACGATTTTGTAGCGTGTCTACAAGAACCTCAAGCTGCTGTCAGCCAAATTAATTTTGACAAAGATCCGAGGAACTAACTAGGTAGTCACTAGCACCAAAGATATACAATAGTCATCTGGAGGAGTTTTCCTTTTTGGATTCGAAACTCTTAGTCGAGCTGATGGCGAGATTGATTTTTTCTTCGAGGTTCACTTATTTTTTTTCTGGTTCTTTAGGTTGGTAAACTGCTTCTAAACACTCTTTAGCTCTGTGAATCTTTGACTGAAGGTAAAAACTCCCATTTTTAGCATTTCGCTCAAACAAGTTGTCATACTTCTGCAAGAAGAATGAGAAGCAAAGTATTTGTCATACTGAAGACAAAGGAAGTGTTACAAGGTAATGACGCCATTTAGACGAACCTGCACAATTTCTTCCCATGATGAATTCTCAGTGACGCCAAGAATCTGCCTTGCCTCTCCCTCCGTCATGGTTTTACTAGCTCTTTTAATATTCTGCACTGCTTCTTGAGCAACACCATTTTTCGAGGCATCTGCCATCAAGATGCAGTAAGTACATCATGTGGCAAGATGTGCAGGGAAGCAAACATATAACAACAAACCAAGTCATACCCAATAGCTTAACTCAGAATATTGAATCTTACCCCATTTCATTCCTTGAGGTAGGAGCGGGACATGAATCAACCATGCCGAAACATACTTTTTATGATTAACAATTCTTTCTAATGCAGAATTTGGTAGTGATTCCTTTGGATTAAAATCCCTAAGAAAATCACCCATGTATCTCTACTTAGTATTAATACAGTACATTCCTTGTCTGCAAGGGATTAACCAGGTAGTTAACACACAAAAACTCTGGAAATCACAGTTTCAAATCCCAACTAAAATCACTCAGAATGAGTCTATCAACTCCACCCCGGTGAGTAGGATAACTTAGCCCCACTGCTTGTAGGTTGTGCAAGCTGCCTGATGGATAAACCAAATGGGCGTGCAAGCTAACTCACACATTCAAATCAAAAGAAAAAACCTCTCGAGCGCGCGCGCACACAAAAAGAAAAAAAACTTTGGATAGAATTTAGAGACGCAGCTTGTCGTTATTGCTGAATCAATATATTCTAAAGTAACCATGCACGGCATTTTTGGGATTTTTTTAATAAGAGCATTCCTTGGGAATTAAATTAACCTCACATCTAATGAAAAACAATGCAACAGTTCTGAAATGCTTATGATGCAGAACGCCTCAGATTAATTGCCTATAAAATTAATTATAAAAGAGGAGGGTTGGGGGCTGGGGGTT